AATGAGCGGGGCGTCGGCCAATCTCTAATCGCCGCGATCTTGCTGTCCTCTGGCTTGATGCCATCTCCGTCTAATACGTGGCCCAAGTACAAAACTTGCGTCTTGGCCCACTCGCACTTCTTCGCGTTGATCTTGAAGTTAGCCTCTCTAAGCTTCTCCAAGACCTGCCTGAGATGACCCTGATGCTCCTGGAGGGTCTTACTAAAAACTAGGATATCGTCTAGATAGACTACTACAAACTTATCTAACCATGGTCTAAACAGGTCATTCATACAATGTTGAAAAGTGGATGGCGCGTTGGTTAGTCCAAAGGGCATCACTATAAACTCATAGTGCCCATATCTAATCCGGAATGCAGTCTTATAGTGATCATCAGGATGGACTTCTATCTGATGGTAGCCGGATTTCAAGTCTATCTTGGAGAAGTACCTACAACCCTGCACCCGATCTAAAAGATCGTCTATCCTGGGCAGCGGCTCAGCATTGTTCACGGTGATCGCATTCAAACCCCTATAGTCTATGCATATACGAAGCTCTCCTTCCTTTTTGGGGACAAACAAGACTGGTGCTCCAAAAGGAGACGAACTGGGTCTAATCCAACGCTTCTCAAGGAGTTCGTCTAACTGCTTGCGAAGCTCCTCGAACTCTCTAGGGGACATCCTGTACACTGCACCCTTAGGATTTCTACTGCCAGACTCTATCGATTTCTACTGCCAGACTCTATCTCTATCCTGTGCTGGATGGGTCGTGACACTACTCCTGTCGGCGACTCAGTCAAGTCTTTGAATTCTTCCAGCAGCTTGGCAATTGTTGGATTTGTGGAGCTATCCTTTTCCTGGGCCTCAGTGACAGKTCTAACATAAACTACAAAGACCTGGTCTTCTAACTGCTCCTTTTTTATTAATCACGCGAACGCGGGAGCACTGAGACAACAATGTGCCAAGGCGTTGTCTACACCCGACACATGGAACAAGCGGACAATCTTAACTTCGCCTACCGGGCTAGGGAGTCTACACTCATGCTCTCTCAAATGAAGTGTGGCCCCTGCTGCCTCTCCCCAATCCATTCCCAACACTATATCAAAAGGAAGGTCATCTTGCACGAGGAGAGTCAAAGAATGGAGGACCTTCTCCACTTTTCCATTCTTCTCTAGGCGAAAGTACGCCTGGACTCCCTCTACGTAGTCCTCAACGCGCATCGTGCGGTTGTCTGCGAGGACACTGACTATGGGGTCTACTAGTTTCTGGACCTTTAGTCCTAGCCTCAGCTTCTTCAGCGCCCTACGGCTAATGTAACTACGGGTAGCCCCTGAGTCTATAAGGGGCCCCTACTCTACTTCTGAACACCTCTACATCTACCAAAATCAGTTGTCCCTTACTCTCCATTTTCATTTTGGCCCAGGTTGGCATTCTCCCTTTTAACTCTTCTGCCACACCTGTGCGGGACGTGCCTAAAGAGACGCTAACACAAGCAGTCTCTGGACAGCTATCTAGGCATTGGCCTGCAACCTCTGCCATAGGCTAGTGTGGGTTGGGAGTGTCCTGTTCGCGCGCGCTCACTTCTCCACATGGCCTGGAAGTAGGGGCAGTTGCGACCCCTACTGGCGGCTGCCTTTTGACTGCTGAGGAGCCCAACGGGCCTGTCTATACTTTAGACAAAATTTTATTACGTGCGCCGGGTCACCACAGAATACGCACTGACCCATGTTCACGCGTTCCTGCCATAATCGTTGGTCCAAGCCCAAGTCTTCCCAGGGCGTGCCCTGCGGCAAGCCTGGATGCCATCCTCCTTGAGGTGCCCTTCCACCTCCTCGCTGTGGGGACCGGTTACCCTGGCGATTTAACGGGGGACCTTGACCTCTACCTCCCGCTTGGTGGTTTCCCTGTCCGCCAACCCCCTGTGCGTCCGGTCCTCAGCCTCCCATGGTCTGGCCCCTTTGGCCCTGGCCTCCTCCTCTACCTTGCGGCCTCCCTCCGGCCGCRACAGCAGCGTAAGACCTCCCCTGCCCTACACGACTGTACTCCTCCCCTAGGCCCCACTCAATCTGATCATATGGGACCTCTCCTGTACCACCCTCCTCTAATGTCAGGATCAAGTGATCCTTGGCCTTGACTTGGCCCGAGATGGTACGATCTTTCCACTTCTTCCCCTTCTCCAGGTCCTTATGCCAGAAAGTGGTAACTGGCATAGACTTCGACTCATACAGGACGACTTCTCTACTCAAT